AGGAGGGACCGGGAACCGATGCCCCAACCAGTTAGTTCACTAGCCATAAGGAGCAATGAATCGGTCATAACCCGTAGCTACCGATCTTAACCAGTTGGTTAAGACTTGCCAATTTCGTTGAACCAGTTGGTTCAGAATGGATTTTTAAAATTTTCATAATGCTTTGTTCAGATTTTTCGACCTTTTTGACTAATGAACTGGCCGATCTGACCAGTTTGGACTGGACGGCACCCTCACAAGGATGGTCCTAACAGCACTGTTTCTATGCGGGTGCCAAATATATACCAATAACATACAAACCAGGCATCTTAGCTCATAGTATTTATATCCGTAACTGAAACCAGGCATCTTAGCTCACAGTACATTTCCATGGACTCGCCAAATAGTTACAAAAGGAAAGACTTGCCAAAAAGTGACAAAAGGAAAGCTCAACCAATTCATGACAAGGGATGCTCTAGTGCCCAAAAGTTGCAAATACATTTTTTTCCCCAATACTTATCAATAATGAAATTAAGACCGGGACGGACCGAGAACCGGTGCCCCAACCAAGTTAGTTCACGAGCCATAAGGAGCAATGAACTGGTCATAACCGGTAGCTACCGATCTTAACCAGTTGGTTGAAACTTGCCGATTTCGTTGAACTAGAAGGTTCAGAATGGATTTTTTAAATTTTCATAATGCTTTGTTCAGATTTTCCGACCATTTTGACTAATGAACTGGCTGATCTGACCAGTTTGGACTGGACGGCACCCTCACAAGGATCGTCCTAACAGCACTGCTTCTATGCAGGTGCAAAATATATACCATTAACATAAAAACCAGGCATCTTAGCCCATAGTATTTATATCCATAACTGAAACCAGGCATCTTAGCTCACAGTACATTTCCACAGACTCGCCAAATAGTTACAAAAGGAAAGACTTGCCAAAAAATGACAAAAGGAAAGCTCAACCAATTCATGACAAGGGATATGCTCTAGTGCCCAAAAGTTGCAAATACATTTTTTTCCCCAATACTTGTCAATAATGAAATTAAGACCGGGACAGACAGGGAACCAGTGCCCCAACCAGTTAGTTCACGAGCCATAAGGAGCAATGAACCGGTCATAACCAGTAGCTACCGATCTTAACCAGTAGGTTAAAACTTGCCGATTTCGTTGAACTAGCTGGTTCAGAATGGATTTTTTAAATTTTCATAATGCTTTGTTCCGATTTTCCAACCATTTTGACTAATGAACTGGCTGATCTGACCAGTTTGGACGGGAGGGCACCCTCAAAAGGATGGTCTTAACAGCACTGCTTCGATGCGGGTGCCAAATATATTCCATTAACATAGAAACCAGGCATCTTAGCTCATCGTATTTATATCCGTATCTGAAACTAGGCATCTTAACTCACAGTACATTACCATAGACTCGCCAAATAGTAACAAAAGGAAAGACTTGCCAAAAAGTGACAAAAGGAAAGCTCAACCAACTCATGACAAGGGATGCTCTAGTGCTCAAAAGTTGCAAATACATTTTTTTCCCCAATACTTGTCAATAATGAAATTAAGACCGGGACGGACCGGGAACCGGTGCCCAAACCAGTTAGTTCACTAGCCACAAGGAGCAATGAATCAGTCCTAACCCGTAGCTACCGATCTTAACCAGTTGGTTAAAACTTGCCGATTTCGTAGAATTAGCTGGTTCAAAATGGATTTTTTCAATTTTCATAATGCTTTGTTCAGATTTTCCGACCATTTTGACTAATGAACTGGCTGATCTGACCAGCTTGGACTGGACGGCACCCTCACAAGGATGGTCCTAACAGCACTGCACCTATGCGGGTGCCAAATATATACCATTAACATAGAAACCAGGCATCTTAGCTCATAGTATTTATATCCGTAACTGAAACCAGGCATCTTAGCTCACAGTACATTTCCATAGACTCGCCAAATAGTTACAAAAGGAAAGACTTGGAAAAAGTGACAAAAGGAAAGCTCAACAAATTCATGACAAGGGACGCTCTAGTGCCCAAAAGTTGCAAATACATTTTTTTCCCCAAGACTTGTCAATAATGAAATTAAGACCAAGACGGACCGGAAACCGGTGCCCCAACCAGTTAGTTCACGAGCCATAAGGAGCAATGAACTGGTCATAACCGGTAGCTACCGATCTTAACCAGTCGGTTGAAAC